CCAAGTTGTTTTCGATCTGGTAATTCTAACATTGGATTAAGCCACTTAAAAAGCTCTACAACTGCTGGATTATCAATCCAACGAAAGGAAAAACCACATGCAACTGTAACATTCAATAATAATCGCTCAAATATTTCAATTTGCTCAGGTCTCACTTCACGATATGCATAATTATCAAGTGGACCGAAACTTTGAAAAGAAATTTCTGATATACTACTACTTATACTATTTGTACGCGATGTTTTATAGAAAAAATTGTTTAAATTAGAAGAACCGTGCGAAGATGGTGTTATTGATAGCGATTTTAATTGTAAATTTTCTTCAACTTCACTTTCAACTATTCGTTGCCGTTTGTATAGTTTTTTTGAACCATAATCCATTGCTTTCTGAATAATTTCTAGAGTTTGTTCCGGAGTGTGTCTTTCAGCCCAATGAGGACAATTTTCAAGATGTTTTGCACATGCACGTTTAGTATTAGTAAACTTCTGTTTCATAGCTGCTTCTCGACCTAAAACTCTAATACAATCTTGACAAACTACATAGTTATTATACTTGTTAGATTTTTCTTCTAATATCAAAAAATATCCACTAAGCTTATGCTTTTCTCGCATTTTAATAAAAATTCACAATCTTAAAAAAAAAAAAAATGATCGCCCAAAAAAAGAGATTATCAATTATTCAATTTATTACACAAAATTTAATTGGTTAATTGAATTGGACTAAGTCCAATTGTTTATCCAATTGGTTCAATTGGACGATTTGGTTATAGTCCAAATCCAACAAATATTTATTGGACTTATTGGACAATTGGATGCAATTGGTCAATATCCAATTGTCCAATTGTCCAATAAGTCCAATTAAGTCAATTGGAATGAGTCCAATGCCAACACTGCACAGAATCGATCCGATTAAATAATTGGATAATTATAGTCTGTGAAGATAATGTATCCGTCAGTTAACGAGAAATCATTAATTGATAAAACTTTTTGAACTGGTTCCAAGTTCTAAATAACATTTCGTTCCATACATGAAATTTATGAGAATGAAAGTTCCTATATATTTATAATAACCCAAATTAACCTTTTTTGTCATGATCGATAAATTTTACAATGTAGTTAACATAACAAAGCGTTTCCCGTGCACTTATATTAATTTAATTTAATTCAAAGATCGACAGTATTTTTTATAAAAAATTTGCGTAGTGAGGTAATATCCGTCTCTTTCTGAAAAACTTCCAAACTCAGATTTTTTAGTATTAATATCTACCATAATTATAAAAGGAAATTTATTGGTTTGCATTGATAGATAAAAATTTACGTATCAGATTAACAAAATAAAATAATGCTTAACCACAAATGTATTTATTGTTACTGACATTTAATAATGTTATACTAGAACTACCTAATAATAATTATGTAAACTTGTAAAACTATTTATATTGCATACAATCACACTATCTAAACTTTATTATCGGCTTTATCATTGACTTTATTATTGCCTTCTACCAATAAATTCAAAAAATCAGTATTAATATAATATTCTTTAAGCATATTTTCCATATTTTGGACTCGTTCTTCCAATGTAACATCTTTGGTCCTTCCACTAATGAATGGAATTGGTTCATATTTATTTTTGAGCTTCCTTAAAAGTTTTCTTTGATATTCTATACATAAGTAACTAAACACATATGTTTGTAAAAATCCCCTATTATCAAAAGAAATAAAATATTATGACTACTAATCTATAATTACGAATTGTAAAAATTATTATTTTAACTTACCATGGCGCTAACTTAGTTGCTCCAAATAAAAATATAAAGATTCCTGACAAAAAACTAAAGAATCCACCGATTCTTGATAAAATTGAGGCAACTAAAGAGAAAAATAGGAATAAAGATTTTTAATATTTTATTTTAACTGAAAATTAAAAAAAAAGTTGATAGTTACGATCATAATAAGATTCCTCTCGATAAAAAATATCCTTTGATACTGGTCTTAATATAAGCATTGTTGTATTTGGGGCTGATAAATTTGTTATATGATCAGTATGTGCATTAAAGTCAACGAATTCTTCTTCCAATCCTCCCACAAGACCGTAAACATACTTGCTAAATATACGTTTGTTGATTATAGGTGAATAATATACGATTGAGGCCTGTTCATTAACAATAAATAAAGGAATAATAGAAACCAAATTAAAGCTAGAAGATGATGGATAAACTTTATCTATTTTAAATCCATCTAAATAAGCTTCAGTGATGTTAGGGGTTATTACTATTCTATTCTCCATCTGATAGTCAAAATTATAGTAATAACTTTCACCACCATTATTACAAATATGAGGAACATAATTATTTATAATAGACACAGTTGTTTCGCATTGACTTGAATTAAAGTCAATATAATTATAATTAACAGATAAAATATTAGAAGAGTAATTACAATTTATAGGAATTAAACTACAAATTCTAATAACAATTTTGCCGAAATTTGCATGTTTTATACTGGAAATTAGGTTAGGCTCAGTAGTCGAAATAGAAAATTTTGAAAACTGACTATAAGTATAAATAAGAAGTACAATTATAAGTGAAAGAGAGCATAATTTTTTTAAAAAAATAAAAGAAGAAGGTTCAGTTGATGATTTAGCTTCTGGGAAAATCATTTTTAAATTTAGTGCAAATTTTAAAAAAAAAACAAACTGTCCAGTATTATGTATTATTGATGATCGTCCAGTTCGAATTCTTGATTGATGATCACCGGCTCAGGAATGCGGCTAAGTTTAGCGGATAGTTACGCATTATATAAAATTTTTTTTGTAGATCGGCTGTGCATTTTTTGTGGCTTGATTACATCTATTTAATTAAAAATTTAATTATTATAATCGAAATTACAATTAATCTGGTTTGCTTTATTTAGCTAGCCTTCCGAGCTGGTCAAATAGATTCGAGTTATTTGACTCAAATTGATTATTTAAATGCAACGAGTATTAACCTGTCGAATCAGAATCATATTTGGTAATCAATATTTATTCGGATAAAAATGGATATATCCAGCTTCAGCCGGATATGATATTACCTATATAATAAACAGATAATAAATACAATTCACACGATAGCTAATTTCCATACCAAAGGAATAAAACATGTTAAGCGTTAAAAATTTAAGAATATTAAATTTTCTATTGATTTTTATAATTATTTCCGAAACTGTTCTTCTTATTATTTACCCTTTTTATATTAAATTCCGAATAACTTCGACATCATCATTATGGATCACAGTTCCATTCGTTCTTTTTAATGGATTATCTGTAATCTTTTATAAAACCATATTACATTTTGTTGCATTTTTAATTGTAAATTTTGCTCCAATTGGGATAACGCTTTGTAATATTTTCAAATTTGATTACTTTTTTGGTAAATATTTTTTTTTAAGAATTGCTTATGCATAAATATTATTAATTGTATTTTGTAAATAATTCATTTAAATAATTAAGAATTTGGTAGTCAAATTTTAATTGAATTAAGCAATGGAACGGTTAGTAAGTATATAGAAGAAATTAATAAATTAAACAACATTATCGACCCTGATAATAAAACCGAAATGATAAACAAAGCTAAGGATGAAATAAATGAAATTTCATCAAAATATTATATACGCGAATATATTCCTTTGATGATAATTTTAGGAATATTTCAATTTACCCTTATAGTAATTTGTGTTTTATTGTTAGGGTAATTATTAACAATTATTTTATATTCTAATTTTTTTAATATAAACTAAATTTATTACTTTATTAGATCTTGGAAGTGGATTAGGGAGTCTAAATTGAGTGATAATCGGAGAAGTAAGTTAAAATTATTCTCTTTAATTTCATTATCAACATATTAATCTATTTTTTATTAGATATCAATATTATTTATCAACTTGAGAGGATATTGCTTCTAATTTCAGTTTCATTTAGTGGAATTGCGTTATCAATATCATTATTTGTATTTGGGATTCTTATAAATATGAATTCCAAGAGTATACTCGTTAAAATTATTGAAATATATAGTGTTATTGTAATTATTCTAATTTCAAATGTTTTCTTAGTGATACAAAAATGTTCAAAAAAACTTTATGTTTTATTTTATCTTGCAATTATAATTGAAATAGTATTACTATTTGTAATGTTAATTGGTTATAATTATCCATCTATTATTTTTAGTAATATTAATAACGGTAATTAAAAAAAAGTTTTATCTTTTTTTTTTTTCTCAAATGATTTTTTAAATATTAAATTATTATTATCTGATAATTTTTAGGTAATATTACTAGTGGTGGTGTTACACTTAGAGTAGAGATATTTATGAGTACATAAATTCTTATTTAAAATTCTTATTATTAATTGATAAAAAATTTAAACTAAACTTTTTTATATATATAATTTTAGTTACACTCTTTTTATTTTTCCTAATAATTTTAATTATTAATACTCGATTATGTCAAAATTATATTGATGAAAATATCATTTTACAAAGTAAGTAAAAGAAATTTAAAAATACTTTATTATTTTATTAAATTATTTTTATAAATTAACTTATTTTATTTATTTATTTTTTTTTAGTATATGGTCCAAAAAATAAACAAATTCTATTACAAAATATTAAAGAATCTTTAAAAAAAAATTTAAAAAAATTTTTAAACTTTTTAGGAAAAAAGTCAAAATCAGATGAATCTTACTTAAAAACATTAGGAATCAATGCATGGAAATTTATACCTGAATCAAGATTTTTATTATTAAATATAATAAAAATTGATGACGAGACTGATAATGAAGATGATGAGATTGAGAACGTTTATAACGGAGAAACCGATAAGATTAAAATCGTTGATAATGATAAAAATGATGATAATATTAAAATTTATTTTAATGCTAAATCAGACGTTATGATACAAACAAATTATCCTTTATCAAATATTAACAATATACCATTTGATACCATTGCTTTGAATATGCGTAAGAACTATTTATATTAAGTCAGTCTTATTACTACTTACTAACTAACATATTTGCTACCGAATTCTAAATACTATTAATAGATACTTCTTCCACACAACCAATAGAGTATTGGTTCTATTACTATGAAATAACAATTTCTTCGAATCCGAATAATGATAAAACAATAATTGCTATTGGTCTTGCCACGAAAAATTATTCAATTAACAGGTATTTATTTCTACAAAAAAATTTTAATGATCAAATTAAACGATTACTAAATTTTTTTTTTTAATTTAAGATTGCCTGGTTGTGATACACATTCTGTTGGTTTTCATTCAGACGAAGGTAGAACATTCCACAATGAAGGATATACTGGTTCAAAATATGCTGAAAAATGGGGCAAAGTAAATGATGTAATAGGTTGTGGTTATTGTCCAAATACTGGACAAATTTTCTTTACAATGAATGGTAAGAATTTGGGTATCGCTTATACCAGTCTATTTTATAATTGGTATCCTACAATTGGTTCTAATGGATTTTGTAGTTTAAATGTTAATTTTGGCCAAAAAGAATTTAAGTATAAAGAAGCTAATGGTATGAGCGTTGCTGGTATAATTTCTCAAGAATTATTAAATAAGATAGAAAAAGAAATTATTAATGTAGAACAGTAATATCATTATTTCTAAATTTCAACTATTAGTATACCTTGTTATATAATCACAAGTAAAGCATCTAAAAATTCGATAAAATTAAACTTTAAACTCGTGTATATTTATGCACATTGATTTAATCGCATCTTAAAAATCTTTTGTACTTTTCGTAATGACCGGCCTTACTTCCAAAGAAGAACACTATTCTTCACCATAAAAAATTACGCAGAACATTATACCGTTCCACAACCAATCAGTCCTATCGGCTATCGAAGATTGCAACAAAATATCATACTCTTATAATCCCGACACCAGTTCGTCGATAAGTTTTTTTAAATATTACTCGTAAATTATTCATGTTTTATTTTTTTTAAATAAACAGCCGCAGTGGGCGCAGTAAAGTATAAATAAAATTACTATAAATTGATAAATTGTTTATTTTTTTTTTAGGTAAAAAAATGTAGCTCAATAACAAAATAATATTTTGATATTTTCCGAAAAATCAAATAAAAAATTATAAAATAAAATTTTACTAAATGCAATAAATTTTATTTTACAAGAAAAAAGAAAAAAAAAGAAAATTTAATAATAATAAATCACGAAAAATATTATTTTCACTGTATTTGTAATTACTGATTTTAGATGGTTGATTATAAAAACGCAATTTTATTACGCTTTATTGATCTTTAGTAACGAAAAAAAAAATCTATTTAATGATGAGAATACTCGCAATCACGTACATATCACGTTATTAAACGATTGTCGCCCATAAAAAAGGGTTGATTAATGACTTAAATAATTTATGAAGCCAGATGAAATAAAGAAGCATAAAAATAAAAAATAAGATAATAACTTTATTTGAAATAAATAAATATAAATAAATAAAAAAAAATCACAGAATTTTAAAATAATTCACAATAGAATTTACAAAGAATGTTTCTTCAATTTCTCTAATATATAATTCAATTTTCTAACTTTAGTTTCTAAATCAACTTTAATACCTTCAATTCCTTCAATTTCATCAATTGAATTTTTATCTATAACTCTTTTAATCAAATCCTCAGTATTAATATTCACATTATTACCTAAATTAATAAAATCTTTAATTATCATTTTAATATTATCATTATATGTTAAAATTGAATATTTGTCATAATCTATTTCTTTATAAATACTATTTATCATAAACATAGATGCTTCTTCAAATTCTTTATAAATAACACCTTGTTCACCTTTTTTCGTATTATACCATTCTTCAAAATTTTTAGCTTGACTAAAGTAATATATACGTTTTGGTTCACATCCAAGTTCAGAATCAGAAAAATGAACATGTAATGCTTCAAAAGTTGCTATATAATTTGCTTGATATCTCAATAATTTTTGTTTGCCTTTAGTTCCTGCTGTTACATAAACACCACTAAAATAAAGAAAACCATAATATAAGAAAATGTCAAATAAGTTATTAAAGTTGCAAAAAAAATACTTACTTCATAAAAGCAATCAAGATATTTTGTAGTATGATTACAAGGAATATACTAGCAATCAAGGTAAAAAAGTCAACAGCCCAATTACTAAAATTATCTCTTTGAACCCAATTACCACTAATCCAAAACCATTGCTGTATTAAAAGTTGAAAATGGATTATCATCACTAGATTTGGGATCAAAATCAGATTTAAGATCAATATTAAGTGTCTCATTTGTTAATGAATTTGTAGCAACCCCACTATATGTAGATTCTTTAATTTTTATATTTATAGGATCTCTAAGTAGAATGAACCTATATATATTATAAAATAAAGAAAAATAAATTATATTAATTATATTGAAATTTTTGAAATCCGAAAAGAAATCAATAAATTAGAAAATAATGAGAAAACATTTAAATACATTGTGTGTGCAAATGCAATTATCACAGCTAACATAAACCAAAGAAATGGAATTATTGCTTCGAAAATAATTACGACATAATAAATATAAATTCCAATATCTAATGTATAATGGAAGAAAAAATATAATAATTAATAATTAGTTTAGAAAAAATAATAATTAAATAAAATGTATTATTTTTACCTGATCTTAAACGGAGAAATAATATCTAAAATTATTAAAATTGGTTAATTAATGTTACATAAAAAAGATTTATATATTTATTTTTAAACAAAAAACTTACAAATTGAATCCAAATTAAGAAAATTGAGAATGATATCTCTACAACTAATTTAGAACCAGTTTCTTCACTAATTCCAAAGCCATCAGAAAGTTGAAAATCATAAAGCATTATCGACATTACCGTTACAGGAAGTATAATAGAAATCATATCAACAATATCAAGTAAGTCAAAAAAATATTTTTTAAGTCCACGATAACGAATCTGTTTCACTTCAATAATAAATCGGTAAATTGCCAAATAATAGAATACAATAATTAAAACTAATAAAAAATTTCCATTTACAATAAAACTACGATCCAAATATGCCAAACTAACTAATATAAAACAAATGGCGAAAATGAGAAAACGAAAGCAGAGAGAATACAAGAATATTTTTGCTTTCTGCCAACGAAAATCGATAACTGCTTCAATTGCTGGATTGTCATAAATATCATCATTATTCTCACACAATACCATTCTAGAAAAAGGACTCAACTTATTCGTTTCATTCCATTTGATTTGGTTCCGTCGTGGTATAAGTATAGACGTAAGGCGATTTAAAATGGTTTCAAACAAGTTATAATTTTTTTTGCCCCTTTTAATGTTATTTATAGTAAAACCAGGAAATGGAACAACTCGTAAAGCTAATGGTGATTTTTCAAAGTTTCTATATTCTTTGAATTTGTTTTTTAAATTTTTAAATTTATCCCAAATCCAATTATGATCGTACCACTTAAGTTTAACACATTCATCAGACTTCAACTTAACCATAGGTATCAAAGCTCTAAATTTGGTGTCATTATTGTACCTTTCTAAGTATTCTTTCGGAATAATTTCATCAGGATCTTGACCCAAGAGGTGACCCTGATCTGCAAAACATCTGATAAATAACTTTCTGGCAAAATCGTCTAAGTTTTATGTAAAAAAAAAATATAAATTTCATAAACTTTTTGGATGAAATAAAATTAGAATTAGAAAAGGAAAACGAACCATAATTATATTTAAATAATAAAGGAATTGCCTTAGAAACAGTACACAACCAACCCACACAATTCGTTGGATTTCTAGAATAATATTCTAAAAAATATGCAACAATAATTGCATCTTTAAGTTCACGACCTATAAATAAAATAATGTTACTTTATGTTGCAGTATTATTAATTATAATTAAAGTTAGATTTACCTCTACAATAATAAATTGCTAGTTCCATATTATTTTCTGGCTTTTTTAGCTGTTGATCTCTTTTGCCAAAATCAAAATCATCATCTTTTAAAAAATTTTTTCCCGGCCATGATTTAAATTTTATTAAACGATTACAATCAGCAAGTATTAAATTTTTCATAAGATTATATCGAACATCTAATAATCTGAAATTTTCTGGTTCATATTTAGCAAATCTCCAGATTATATGTTCGATATAGTTAGTCAACCTCTCATGCTTTTTATTAATAAGAAGTGTTAATGAGTGTTAGTAGTATTATTTCTAAAAAAAATAAATAAATAAACTTTAATTAGTAAATTAACTTACTTTATAATTATCCGCATCGATTTTACTTTTATAACGTTTTCTTATATGTTCTAATGCTTTGCAAGCGTGTCTTGCTGCATGAGATTTTTTAATAACATCTTTTCCTTGAATTACTTTTTCTCGTATTTTTACCTTTACACAATTATTTATTATTTCTTGTCTTTTTTTCTCTTTCTCTTCTTCGTTTAGGTCATTATCTTTACTATTAATCTGTTTTAATTCTTTTTCTATACGATCTATATCATCGTCTTCTTCCTTTATTATTTCTTGCTCTGTCATTTTTTTATGTTCTTCTGGTTTTGAACTATAACTTCTTTCAAACCAATAAACCTTTAAATAAAAATCATTTATTTTACTTTTTGATCCATAATTTGGTCCATATTCAAACTTTTCAATTCTTAATCTCGTTTTCTTTCCTTCTTGCTTTACTGGAATACGATTTGACCATATATATTCAAGAAAGGCTTCTCCTTTATTAGGAAGTTCATCTTCTTTTTTACTATCATCTTTTATTTCATGCCAAATTTGAACGGTTGATCCACCAACAATAAGCTGTAAAGTTTCTGTTTCCGTTCCTTCTTCATTATAATAAATACAATAAGAAGTTCTTTCACAACCGCCCGGTACCCATGGTTCTCTGTCATTAACTATTTGCTTGAAATTTGTTTTTCCATCATAATATATGATATGATTTTTATCATCTTTTCCATTTGGTTGTTTTCCAAAAACATTATTTTTTAATGGATCTGCAACTTTATCCCTTTCGGTTTTTTCCGTTTTCTCTATTTCCTCTTTCAATTTTTTAACTTTTTTAAGAACTGATGAAACATTTCCATTATCATCGATTTGTAAAATATTCCCCGAAGTTATGGCTAAACGAGTGTAAATATCATCTATATTAGCTTTGGTAATTGGAAAATCGTCTAACTCTATTAATTTATGTTTGCCAGTATCATACAGATCCCAAATTATAACTTTAATCATTCCATCCGGACATTCTCCTATAATAAATAATTTTTCATCATTATCAAAAAATTCTAATAAATATATTTTTTTGATTCCATCAAATTTTTTTGATGCAACTTGTAAACCATTCTCCATATAAAACAACCTAAAAAAATTTAAATTAATTAAATTTTACAACGCCAATAAATTAATAAGTGAATCATATAACTTACTTAATAGTATTAACTTGAGTAAAACCAAGTAGTAACCCACTAACTGCAAAAAAATAATGATTATATTCATTTACGATATTTCCAACAAATTTTGCATCAATTTCGTGTTCCATTTTTGCTAGATCATAAACTAGTAAAACATATCATATTAATATATTTTTAGGATTATTACGATGAGATAAATTAATAATTACCTTCAAGCGATTGCGTGCCACTTATATATTTTGTAATCACAAAATATTTATCGTAAATACACGTAAGAAGCCTATTCGTACAATCAGAAAATTCATCAAATGTATACCAATTATCTAATACAAATCTAATAATTTGTGGATATTTAAATTTTTCATTAAAATCTAGAAAATCAAAATTATCATCAAATTTAATACTGTATATTCCACGGAAATTTAATATTATAAATCTTTTTAGTTCAATATCGCTTGATTTTTCATCATTAACATCATTTGATTTTGATTTTTCATCATCATCATCATCACGTGAATATATGAATCTACATATTCCTGAAATTTTATTAGAATAAAACCGAGTTACAGCGGTAAGAATATAATTATCCGCTCCTTCTTTTCGTAGTTCAATACGATAAATAGCAATTCCTTTATTACTTTTATTTGCTGTTCTTATATTTTCATCTTGTAATTTACATTTGTTAGTTGGCTCATATTTCGTTTTATCAAGTTTATTTTTATCATCATTATTCTTCTCTGTTCCTTTCATATCCTCATCAACTTTTATGCGAGATATAGCGAAAAGAATAAAATATTTGTTATCTTTCTTCTTGTGCATATTTGATATATCAAGAGACCATTTATAATTCTTTTTATCTTCTTTTGAATCACTTTTCTTTTCTTTTGTTATCTTTTCATCACTATTTGAAGAACAATCGGTACTATAAAACGTTTCAATAATAAAATCAAAATTTATTTTAAAATAAGCGATTGTCTTATCAATTTTGACGGAATCATCAGATTTATCCTTATTGCTGGAGGGATTCTTTTTCTTGTCGTTTATAAATGGACGATAATCAGTGTTCTGTAATATTTTGATCCGAAGGTTTGCTATTGATTTATTTATTTATTTTAAAACAAAGCAAAAAAAAAATTATCAATTTATATTAAGGGACACATAAATATTTTATTAATAATGAATCTTTATTTACCTGTATCGAATGTAGCAGCAAATTTTCCATCTTGACAAATTTTAATTCGATAATTTTCCTTCTCAGTGATAACATTTTTTCCATAATCTACTTTAGAAGTCGGGTTTTCGTCTTTAAAATAATCTAAAAAAGTATTTTCATGTTGTTTGATAACTTTGATCTCAGAAAGGTCGTTCATGTTTTTGCTTAAAAGTCTTTTTTTTCGAATTATCAATAATATTATTTTATTAGATAAAAGACGGGAAATAAAAACTGCGAAAGTTACTCAATTTATAACATAGAAGGTGACCCGAGCAATAAAAGATCGGCCTCTTCAGACGTAATGCCGTTCTGGCATTATCCAAAAAAGGAAGAATCCACACGTTATTTTGCTATACAAATTTGCCTTTTTGATTATTGTATTGATCGGGGTCCTAACACAGAAAATAATTATTACTTTTATGAATGACCAATTAAATATTTTTCATTGAAAATTCTAAATCAGTAAACTAAGAACTTGTGAGCTAACCATATAGTGAGTGATGACAATGCAAGATTACATACATACAATATACAAAAAATAGAAAATTAATTCGCTTTATTCCTATTTTGTAAATATTGACTAATGTACTTTGAGGCTAAAACCAGCCATGATTAGCACCGAGACTATTTTGGTAAAAAAAATTTTCTGCACGAATTCCATCCACTGAAAAAACGTGGAAAAATATACAGTACTAAAACTTTTTTTTTTTTAAAAAAAAAAAAAAAAAAAAAAAAAATTTTTCGAAAATTACATTACCATTGTAATAATGATAACCGTTTATGCATAAAATTTATTTTAAAATATTGACTTATTATTAAAATTTAACAATTTTTGGTTTAGATACTTATTTAAGAATGAATTCCTAATAACCTAAATCTAATTAGGTTAAAGCAATTAACATGAGTCAACTCAGCCAAGTTGGTTTATGATTAATTTGGTTAGTCGATCTTATTTAGCCGGATATTTCGGGATTTAAAGGTTTTGTTCTTTCAACAATAATGTTTTTTCTAATTAGTTAAATATTACGTTATTTGCTAATAGACTAAACTAATTCCAACTTTATTTTTTTTATATTCTGTAGTACATTCTATTTTGTGTGATGACGTATTTTATTGGACAGGTTCAAATTCCCCAAAAAAAAGAATTAAAGAAAAACAGAGCATTAAATATATAACGCCCACGAAACATAGCATATAATAAATATAGCAATTTTATAAAATACAATTTAAATTTATATTAATAATTATCTTTATTTTTACAATTGAGAGAAATGTAATGTTGGTTTATTTTAAGGATCGCTGTGTTTTAAATATTACTACTTTTCTATTTGAACTGTAAGAGATAGTTGATACTTCCTCATATGTATGGTGACTTATCTTGGATTTATAACTCTTAAGTACTTGTTAACACGATCGAAATAATATGTTCTTTTATGATCGGCAGGGCGAATGCCCACCAATTATGTATTTTTTAATTTAACATAAGATTTAAAAATCCAAGAATGTACTAATTTTAATTAATAATGTATGGTTAAAAAATAAATAAATAAAAGTTCATTATAAAATTATAATAACCTCCAACAATCATAAATCTCATAAATCACAATATGCAAAAAATTATTTTTATAAATATTCACTATCTAATTGGAAATCAGCAGCTTCTTTCAATAAAGAAATAATCATAGGGAACGAAGCTCCTAAAAAGTATGTATTCTGATTATTGTCCGGAGCGTAACGAGGGTCATTCTATTGTTATGTACTAGTACAATTATGTCTGTGTACTTTATTATCATATATATAGCCTCATACGCTCATACACATTTATACACAAAAGTTTTCCCAAATCCAATCAATTATAAAGATATCATGAATGTAAAAAACGGTATTATTATTTTTTTTTTTAAAAAAAAAGCTACATATTTAACAAAATAACATAAAATTACTGAGTCAATATAAATGTAATCTCAAACAGAATGAGAAACGAAAAAGAAAAAATAGTTATATCATCTCGACCAGCATATTTATTTCTTGAGCTATGGGTATCGAAAACCTTTTGCTCTTGGTGGTTTGTTTAAATATTTGCTCGACGTTTTCTTGGACAACATGACGCTTACTTTTCCCTATCTTATTAAAGTTTTTAGATAGGAACTTAGATATATCTTTGTAGAAAGTATTTACGAACTCTTTCGGTTAAATAAGGTCCATTTTATATAAGTAATATCTTATAATAAGAAAGTAAATAGTACCCTATTAAAAAAAAGTAGTATTTTGCATGAAGAAGATAAATAGCATTCTATCAAAGAAAAGTAAAATTAAATAGTATTCCATTAAAAGAAGATAATATTTTGTAAATAAAAGGTAAATACAGAAATAGCATTTTATCAATTACTGGAAAGCTTAGTGTTTTAAATTATTTGACCATGATAATAATCCAGATCCTAATAACTGGACTAATATCAGCTAAATGAAGAAAAGGTTAAGGAGTTACAGGATTATTAAGGCAAGAGATGAATTTGGGCTATCGATTTTATAAATTAATAATGGATTTTTTATTCCTATTCCACGTAAGTTTCGCGATTCAACTCATTTTTTAATAAGCGATCATTTATCAAAATAGTTTTAAATTTATGCATCTTTCAAAATCTCTTAAAATCACATCTAACATAAAAGGCACTTTCACCAATATGATTTTTAAATTAAGTAAATGATCAGTTGAAATAAAAATTTATTTCAAGAAAAAGCAACGTCATTTTTTCGCTATAAAGCATTATAAAATGAATAATGTACAGATTTTAAAACCTAGTAATAACATTTATTTATTTTAAAACATTTATTTCAACATTTGAAATACTTCATAATCTTCTATAGACAAATATTCTTCAGTATCTCTTATCTTTTTTTCATAATAATTTTTGCTACAATAAAGTGTAGTATAATCAGTAGATTCATTGGAAGAATATATGAAAATATCATGGCCAAATTGTGGTCCAAAACTAGGACCATAAACTACTGCATGTTTTTTATCTTGTACATTACTAATAATCGAATCTTTAATATCGTTATTTTTAAAAGAAAAAATAAAACTGTCTATAGTTTCACCCCGATCAACAGATGATTTCCATGTTATCGGATTGTATCCACCAATAACCTCCTCTATTCCCTTTATTTTAATAAAAGTAACAGTATTAGGTTTATCATCACATAATTCATGAAATATTTTAGGTGTAAATCCATCCCGACTTCCTCTTAATAATAATTTAAATTTGTATGATTCTTTTAAATATGCAAAATTATTTCTGATATCCATTTTATCAATTTGTCTGGAAATAATTTTAACAATACTCAAATTAGTAACGATTTTTGAATCAATAATTTTCTCAATTTTAATATTTCTAGGAAGTAAAATATTTTCA